TATAATTTACATTATTATGAAAGACTTCATAAATGCTACTCCAGAATTCTAATTAGTGCAACTTAAACTGAAATTCATGAGTCCAAATCACTGCTGCCAGGATAAAGGGATACAGTCCAAAAATTGTAACTAATATGATAGCTGCTCTTGGGTCACTGTTTAACTTTTACTTTAGGTGCATGTCTAAATTATATAAGAATATTCACACAAATACACACACAAGGTTTCCATTTCTTTAATTTTTATACTGGTATGGGCAAAATAAACAAACTATTTCAGTATGCCAAGTGGATGAGCACAAACAAAGGACCCCAAGACTTCATAACCTCCAAATTCATATTAAAACCAAGGTGTACTGTGAGTATTATGACCCATAATTCATATTCCATATTTAAACACAGAGGAAATGAAAAGCAGGAATAATTACTGTATGAATTAAACATGCAAAGTTTTTTAATGAGCAAATATTTTTAAACTTTTCTTCTCTGGAACAAGAACTGAGAGCACCAATAGAATAAGGCCACTACAGTGACATTCCAGCTTAGGAACATTAAAACACTGTCAGTTCACCTTTTGCATTCAGCAACAATTTCACCAAATACAATATAGATCAGAAGTATTATGAGATTAGAAAATATTTAAATATTCAATACAAACATCTACATCACACTAATATAATTTAAAATACAATTCTTTACTTACAAGTGATAACTTTAAAATGGGTTTTTTCATATCAGTAGTTAACATAGGGATAGACAAACCATGAACAAGACATGAACTTGACAAATGTGACGCAGGAAACTTAACACTTCTCCTGCCAATGAACAATTTGAGCTGATGAAGCCGATCCTGTTGTATTGCCTTGAACCAGTCTGCCTGATGCTAGAGGCTAATTTTATATAACATGGAATTCATATACAAGTTAAGAGCTGCTACACTCATGCAAAATATTTTTTCAACATGCTTAGCTTGTATTTTCTGTTTTTATGGAATAGCTTTTGCACAGTAAAGAGCTCTAGGCTTGGCAATAAGAGTGTTAACTAAGGCAGTAAATTTGTACTGTGAACATCTTGTGGTCAAATTATGGTCTGTCCACTCCTCATCTAATGTTACTAAATGTTTCAAATCCTAAATACAGAAAAACAGCATCATACATGTCATACTATATACCACTATTTATATAACTGTCAGAAGTTAGCAATTCTCTATTTGTAGCTACCATTTTTCTTCAAGTCTTAAAATTTTTAATTTCATGTAGTCATTGGGTAAAGACAGTACTAGTCATCATTTTCTTATATCCGAGGCATATAAAATTCTAAAGTTGGACTATCAAGCATATCTTAAATTTACAGCAGTTACGGAAGGCATCGATATTATTAATTTAGGATTCATCAAGTTATATAAGTTTGTATGAAAGCTTTCTAATCTGGTGAATGTTTAAGAAATTCTTCTTTAAATTTTGTTTTATACTTTAAGATAAATTTCTTAATTCTCCCTACGTAAAATTTTGTAATTATTATTAAAGGAGATAGCAGATTATACAATATGAAAGACATGTAACACAGCAGCAGATAACAGTGGCTCCTGTTCTGTTAATTTCACCAACCAACATGTGAGTTAGCCTTCAGTTCCCCTGACCTGGTCTTGTAGTTACTATGTCAGTTCTTATGATACGATTACATAGAACTTATTAATGATCCTATGGTAGAGGTTATTTTATCTGCAAAACATAAGTACAGTCTACAGTAATAAATGTTCAGTAACTAATCATCTACTTTTAGATGTTCTGCACTGCTTCAAAATTCAATTTTACTAGTTGTATAATTACTGTAAACTGTCTTTGCTAGAAGGTATGAATCACAAAGAATTTACTTGAAGGCTTAAGTAGACACTAACAAGTGATTTATTAGGGCGATAATCTTTGGTCACCATTTGGATAAGAGACTTTAAGGTGATAGATACTTCATATTGGCTGTATTTTCTGAAAGGATTAAATCAATGGTATTTAACTTTTTCCTAATTTGGCTACCAACGGAACCTACTGACACTCAGTCTAAACCTAGAAGTAGATGGTAGGATAAGAATGTGTGGCTTAGAACAGGGTCCAATGACAGGCTCTTGTGAAGACTGTAGTGAAATTTCCAGGTACATAAGAGGTAGGGAAATTTTTGACAAGCTGAGCAACTATTAGATTTTCAAGACTCTGCCCCATGGAGCTTATTTAGTTAGATCGAAGCCTTTTAGTGAAACTGCCATTCATATGACACAACAAAGCCCTAAATTATGTAGCACACATTTTTTAGTAAAAAAAACTGAGATTAAGACAATAGATTGTTCTGTGATTGACGCCAAGTATTAGAAGAGAATTAATGAATAATATTGGTAGCAAGCGACTTCACATAAAAATTTCTGAAAATTCAGAGGACAACAGATTTTTGAACTGACACGTGAACTATCTTTAAAATTTTATGAAATTAATTTTTATTTTAATGCATAACTCATATATTTAATCATAATGTTGAAATAAACACCAGTGCTGCAGTCTGAATATTTATGGTAAGTATAATCGGATACTCGCTGTTTTCAGCAGACAGCATAAAATACCAGCAGGATGAGACAGGTATTTTACATGTCCATAAAGAATATTTTATGATCAGAAAATTTCAATTAAATTTGTAATTTCTTCACCTTGCTGGTGTTTTTTTTTCCTTACTTTACACATGAACAAACAAAACCGTGTTCCAGCATCCTCTTTCGAAACAATGAGCAAGAACAGTAATTTTAACTTAATGACTGAAGTTAAAAAAAAAAGGTCTAAACCACACATTAACATCTGATAATGCTAATAATATCTTCAGTTGAAAACATTATTTTTCACTCTGTACATAACCCAGAAATATTCGCTTGTTTCAAATTAGCATTACCAACATCCATGTTTCATTCACTTCAACTGCACGAACATTAAGTTACGTTTGTTTCGTGAAACATCTGTACATTTACTTAACTTATGCATGTAGAAATACTTCCAGGAGACTAAAACTGATTTTGACATGGAAGGTCGGTGTCTTCCGGGTTGTTGTGCCATGTTATCTGGTAGAAGTTTACTGACGTTTCAGAGGTCCTTGCTACCCCCATCATCACATTTATGATGCAGCAATCCATAACGCAGTCACCTTCAGACTCACCACTATGAAAACCTCAAATCCTACTGATTTTAACACCAAAATCTGTAATGTCTGTCTACAAAAATAATTGCCTAGATCGTGAAGCACAAGTGCTTTGTGCATAAAGCAATTCTAACGCATAGTTTAAAATTACTGGCACACCATCAGTTCTTACAGTTTTGTATCATTACATTATAGATTCCTCTAACAGTTTCAAAGTTACTAGCAGGTGATAATGATTTTAGAACATCATTTAGCAAGACATAATGCATCATGGCCAATCATATTATCTGTCTGACAAACATAAGATATGATATGAAGTTTCTTGACGGGAAGTATAAGATTTCTTCAGTAATTCTGTTCTCTTATGAAATATTTACATCCTTTTTCATTAGTGGCCAACAGAAAATAGTTTTGTACAGACAAGTGTATCTCATTTAAACCTAAAATGCAATCTCCTGGGAACACACACGTAGAAATCAATTCATTGCAAAAGGTTAAAACTTCCCAAGTCAGGCCTTTAAGGATTCACATAAGTTACACATCAATTGCCTGCCAGTTTCTCTGTAAGCATCAGAAATCTACTTTAAAACTCAAAACTATATGGACATAATTAGTAAAATGGCTCATTCAGCGAAGAAATATGATAGTTTAGGTAAGAAAATGAGAGTTGGTATAGAATATGAGACCTACAGAAAAATAATTTCACTTTCAAGGTACTGAAAGAGTTTGACACAGAGGGTAGATTTCTATTCGAATCCCCATGGCAGTGACGGTGTTAGCAATAATAAACACTATAAAATAATATATCTTAAATAAAAAAAATACAAATAAAAACATATATTTATAACTAACCCCAGAAATAAAAATGATTATAGTTTTTTTTCAATGTTAAGCAGAAAATAGGGGTTTTAAGAGGTAAAAAAACATATGTAAAATGCATCTTTGAACTATGTCACTGACTAAAACAATACAATTAAATAGCATTTTAAAAATCAATATAAATTATGCAAAATATCTATGAGTCTGAGCTATGTCTCAGTAAGAGGAGAAGGGAAGATGGACAGGGGAAGGAGAGCCAAAAGGCTAAATGCACCATCACTTGGTGGTCTCACCTCCTACCTCATGCCTCAGCTGGTGTGTATTTGTAATGGTCGAGGAAGCTCGTAGCTTGTGATATCTTACAACTATACGCAAACTGTCACAGAACAAAACAGTAAAACTTCTGTTCATGTCACAGTTGGCAACTAAGTCATTTGCAGCCAGCTCTTCAGATCTTAACAATAACATCTGACAAGTTGCATTCTATCCTTTGCACAGACAGTACAAGGGCGGGCCCATGTGCAAACTCTGATTTCACATAAACGTGTTCTATGATAATCCTTAAAGTTCTTATGGCTGTTACGTTATGAATTACAGAATTATGTTGACATCTGAAATCATATATTTTCAACACCTCCTTTGTCATGCATGTTATCTCATCCCCACCTGCATAATTCATATTAAATCATACAATTCATAAGACGATGGTTTGTTATAAAGCATAAAAGGTCAGTAATACCCATGCAACGTTGAAGTTCACAGGCACAGACAACGCAACCACGTCTCACCGTAGACCAACAACGGAAACGTCAACTTAGGCCAGTGGACATAGAGCTACGTAGCTCAATTTAGATAATATACCAACTCTTATGCAATTAATGTCCAGTGTGGTATTACATATTTTATGTTTTTGTAAAGTGTGACCTTTTAGGCTTTATAACGAACCGTCGTCTTATGAATTGTATGATTTAATATGAATTTGTTTGCCACTGATGATGACCTCTTGAGGTCGAAACACGTTTGGCACTAAGTGTCTTTTCAAAGTATAAACAGTTATGTTTGTATGCATGATTTTATATATCAATACACTGCACGGTATGCAAGGTTTTAAGAATATAGATTGATAGGGCCAGCAGTAATATATTTTAATGTACTACTCAATATTCAAGGCAGAAACTGAGGAAAAGGAACATCCAATTAGATCTGGACAGCCAGTCCTAGGATGTGAGCCATGGATCTTGAATATCAAGTCAAGTGCATGATTGCGGAATATAATCATTAATTGCAACCAAGGAGGTAACACGCTTATGGCACATTTTTTCAGGGCTTCAAAAATATGTTTCAAACTTTGTATCACATTCTAGCAAAGACAGACTATTTATACATACCTCTTTGCGCAGAAAATTACCTTCTTGCATATAGAATTTTACGTGAACCACAAACAGTTTAAGAGAGTACTCTTCATTGCTGGCTCTCTTCACAGACATTCATTAGCAGTCTTCAGTATTTCCTATGGGACTTCTAACTGACAGTGAACTTGTCTGTATTCCATTTGTCCCTTCCTGATGGATAAAGAGTTAGATAACATCAATAATTCTTGATCACAAGATTTCATACTGACATCTCCATCTGTCAACACAACAGCACACTTCAAATCTGTGTATATGTCTGTTCTTAACATGGGACATTTTTTTACATAAACCGTTAATAAAGCCACTCATTTACTACGATAATCTTATAAAAATGTATTCCTGTTACTAGTGTTCTATTACTTATTGACTTGGTACCACATAATGATAGCTTTATGCATTAAAGAGTTGCCAAGGAACAAAGATCAGTGGTCACAGACCATTTTGTACTATAAAACTGATTAATGTAATCTACCAGACACACAAACTGAGAGTAATGGGTGAAAAATTGTATATTCAAAGTAAATAATGTCAAGAATGTGTATAAAGATGTAAACTGCGAACAATACAAATCCTATAAAAGTTTCAGAAATGACTACACCTTTCCACTTTCATATACGAATATCTCGTATACAATTCGCATCTGTCGCAAATTAATTTATAAAAAAACTGTAAATGCAGAGTGACAAATATATTCCAAAGCAATATCCATTTTATACATCCTACTGCGATTGTTAGCGAGTTATACAGAAGGTAGATATTCAGTCTTACACAATATACTTTATTCACAACCAAAGACGTTGCCCTCGTAATATCTGCGATTGTGAATAAAATATATTATATAAGATGGAATCTCCATTTTCTGTATAACATGACATTCTTAAGCATTTCATATAGAAGACCCAACAAAAATTCACACTTTAAAATTATATTTTTTTAATTCTACTTCTGAACATAATGTGTATGTGATACTACATAAGGATCAAATACTAACACTCACCAATTGGTTTCTAATATTTATATGTACCAACAGAGATGCCAATTCTAGATCCTCGCTATATGCATTTTTTAGCGGAATGCTGCGATACCCACTTCGTAGAGTTGAGACCTAAATAAAAGTTTACATTAAAAATGTCTACTGTTTCACCTCCAGCACATAAATACTTGAATGGGAAAAGTTGTATGACATTCTGACATTTTGCCATCTACATTTTCAGTGCAGGAAATCCGTACACACATTTACAAAATAAGAGTTTTGTTTTGATGACCACTAATGGATGGATCTTATTTTAAACTGTTTTGTAGTCTGCCTTGCAGTTATGCAAAAATCCTCTGTGCATGAAAATAAGATGATACACAAAGCCACACCACTACACAACACTGAGGTGCCTAGGGCGGAGGTTATGTATAACTGCGACTTATTCTTATCCTTGGCACTAGATGGGGGATGAGTGGTCAGTCATGTCCCAGCTGCATTTTATCCCTGGGGAAAGGACCCCTAGTACCTACTAAATAGGAGACTAGGTGTGGGCTCCAGAGCCAGTCTGGATGCTGAGCCTATATAAAAATTTCTTTGCCCCCGCCAGGGATCAAACCCTGGTCATCCATTCCATAGCAAGACACGACACTGACTGAGCTAACCAGATTCAATTTAATTGAACAAACAGATAAATGAACTTAACATCATGTGCGTGTGAGGTTATTTTATTTATTTATTATTATTTAGTGTTCTGTCTGACGACAGGTCCATATGAACAGGATCCTTCCATCCTTTTCTCGGACTGGGACCTGTTCATATACGTTCTTGGCAGATGATCCAGAAGGTGTTTGCCATTGCCTGTGTGAGGTATGTACCATAAATGAATGTTAGGAGGCAAAAGGGTACTTGCTGGATACACACTGGGTGACTGACGCCGAGTGTACATGGCAGTGGCCATAACAGCTCCAAAACTCTTCTGGCATTCCCTCTGAAGGGTAATGGTGGTTCTTTATCTAGAGGTAATTCAGCTGAAGCATAAAGTGACCACTCAAATTCATCTAGTAAAGAAAAAAACCTTAAACAGACCAGGCAGGACATTCATTAGAACACTCATGCAGGCTGGTCCTGTTCTCTGAAGAGGAAGTGTTTTCAACCAGATCTTTCTTTAATCCTTTCCTTGACAGTCTTTATCCAAGGGAACTGTTACTGCATTTCAAAAAACAGAATGTGAAGTGTAAACTATGAAGTCATTACACACAGAATGCTTGATAAGAAGATGAAAGAATATGCACATGTCAGTGGTAGATTGCTCTATGTGCCAAAAGAAATTAAAAAAAAAAATAATTTCCTGCTGGGAAGATGGGATATTTGTTTCATAACTTTATCAGATATAAAATACTTCTATTCTAAGTAAATATTAGAGCTACACACACGATGATATTACTTCACTATATGGCAAAACACTTGGTGTGGAATCCTGGCTTCCTTCGACACGTGTCAGAATAAAACGACTTTTCTCTATCGCTTCCTTTCACTGTTATCAGGTACAAAAAGTCTTACCAGGAAAACTAGGATAGAAGCTGTGCAAGGAAGAAGGCTTGAATGATATGCTGACACATTTTTTCCGCCTCAGTTTAAATCCAGATCATGTAAAAAATTTGCAAAATACGTGGCGGACTCAGTCCGACAGAGACCGCAAGGGGTTAATGGTATGATGCTAAAGCACAGGGATAATTTTGTTGTACATTTCTAGAAATTGGATGAGAGTGGACAGTTGAATTCCCAATAAATATCAACCAACTGCAGTCAAGACCTACCCTATTTCTCATACCATAACCCCTTCTCTGGAACTTAATACTTACAGCATATGTTGCCTGCCCTATGGAATTTGAATCACCAAACATGTCCTCGTCTTGGATGACAAACCTGAGCAGAGCGAAGTGGGGATTGATCACGTCAAACTCACAAATCTCATTCCACACTGGATTAAACCCATTGTCAGCTGCATAAATAAACAAACTTCATATACTTAACAATATGAAGAGTTTCACAATTTATACTATCCACCTTATTTATATTTATAAAGGATAAGATGGGTGTGACATGTAGCACACATAAGGGGAACAAGAAATACATACCATCTTCAAGGTGATAATCTTTAAGAGAACAGACCACATGTGAGATAAAGACCAAAGTGAGCAGAAAATATTATAATGATTGATCAAGGAATGTGATGTAATGATGTGAAGTAGAGTGAATTAGCTCCAGACAGAATCTTCCTGTTAAATTAAAACAGAATTTCTTGGGAGATCACTAATAACTGCTACGAAGAAAAATATCGTGAAGATCACAGGAGCTGTTAACACAAAGAAATTACAGAAAAATATAATATTATCTCCATCATCAGCCTTTAAGATGGAGACGGTATGTTCCTCTGAAACATTTATGTCTACCTACAAGTCCATATGGCGTTACATCACAAACAGATAATGGAACTTTCTACTGCCAAGCCTCTGACAGACAGGAAGAAAAATTTTGACAGCATATGTTCTTGTCACATAATTCATACAGAAAGTAAGGAATAAATAATTGTGCTCTATCTGAACAAACATATGGAACAACTCCAATAAAGTGTAGATGATAAATTCAACATATGAATGAAAAGTTAATCAACCAGACACTTTCTGCCAACCAAGGAACTGGCTGCAAAGTTACTTACAAACTGTCTTTGTGGTCAGTTTGGATCCAGAATCATATTCAGCACCAATCACTTCAATTTCCACAGATGGGCTAGAAATCCCACGACCACGACCAGATCTGCTGAGATGTCTCGCTCCTATTACCCGTATTGACAGAGTGAGCGGCTCCACACCCACTAATGTGTTCTTATCGTATGGATCAAAGTCCTCCCTGAACATAAACTCTGGTTTCAAGAGAAAGCCACAGCTTCCATTCTGTCGAAACTTGGCCTGATTCAGTTGCATGGCTTTGTCTGCAGAAAAAATATATAATAAGAGATGCATCCATGCAGTTGTTTACTATAATTAACTCTTTTACTGCACACTTTGCAATAACGTGAGGTGTGTCAGCAGTCAGTTTACACTGAAACTGCATAATTGCAAGTTCAAAATTCACAGCCCTACAGATCTTGCCGTTATGTAGCAATGTCTTTCCTGGAAGGATGGGGCACCTGCTCACAATATGCATATGGTTTTGTCTATATTCAGGACGGGGCACCTGCCGACAATATGCATATGGTTTTGTCTATATTAAAAACAATTTTTCCCACAAGACACTGTAAGATATACTTTGTTTTTCAGGCTGTAGGAAGCAATGTCATGTTAAGTGATAATCATGGCAGATTCTGAATCTTGGGATAAATTTGTTTAAAACCCGAAATACAATTTTTCAAACAGAATTGGTACAAACCGATCTTTCCTTCTCTGATGGTATGTAGTGGTACAAGTATCTTTCTCCATAAAATAGACAAATAATTAAACATTACCATAAAGACTGTTAAATAATGGGAGGATGAACACTTTATGTTAACTAAGGTTTGTTGTCGATGTTGGTCTTCTGGGATGCGGAACCTAAAAATCCAATAACGTCATCCTCATCATTGTATGGGTTACGTACCTACAAAACCACACTGCGTTACACCCCAGAAGACATACACTGACATCTTTGCAGCCATAAAAACTTTAGACTGTACAATCCAGAAGACACAACACAAGTCTAAGATCATCTAAGTGACATTTAAAAATCCAGTCCATTCTCAAAGAAAACACAACACTCCTTAAATGTTTAGTCTAAGAATCCTACGAAAACCATCAATACACTGTGTGCAAAATTTAGGATCACTGATTATTAAAGTAGGTGGTACATTGGGTTTCAAAGAGTTAAAAAGTATTTCTCATATATGAGAACTGGCACCCTTCTCTATAGAAAACATTGGTAAATACCAGTATGCAGTCATCCTACCTGGAGTCTGGTAGTTGAGGGCCACCATTTGACCTCCAGAGTTCCAGAAGGGGATGGGATTGTAATTTGATGAGTCTATGCGTTGTCCTTTTGGATACACACGACTAAACTGGATCTGTTTAATACGAAAGTTAGCAACAACATCATTCCCCATTTATAGAGACAGAGATGACCAAAAAAAATATATCAGATTTTGCTCCAAACTGATATGGCTGATGACCCATGAAAATGTTATGAGTTTTAATCACCATAAAATCTTTACACCTTATAAACAATTAACTTAGTTGACTATATTGACCTGAATTCTATGAACAGGAATTACCATATTTACACAGATACACACTTCTGAATTCGAAGGCAAAAATGCCACGTCTTTATAAAACAGTGAACCAATACCGTGGTTTGGTGGTTTGCAAACCTCTTTTAAAGGTCACCTGAAATGTTTGAAGGTCTTTGCTGTAAACAAATATTTTGTATGCCTGTATTGTTTCAAGTGGTAGGGAATCCTTCTGGAAAATGACCACTGGGCAGACCAAGGAGGAGATGGGAGGATAACATCAAGATGGATCTTATGGAGGTGGGGATGGCAAATGGATGGAGTTGGCTCAGGATCGTGGCCGGTGGCGGGCTTTGGCGTTGAACCTGCGGGTTCTGCTACTAGAGAATTAGTTGGTTTGTATTCTTTAAAGACAAATTTGCAAAAGACAATGACACTAGTGGTTTTGTTCCATTTCTCTCTCTCTCTCTGTGTTTTTCTTCCTCGTAACATGTCTGCACTTCATGTGGCTATCTTAAACAAATACTATTTTTACATGTATTAAATAATGATATTATTAATATTATTATTTGTCATATTCACACAACAATCAGTAATACAAGCTTCAGCATTCCATTACATGTTTGAGACAGATAGTCCATCATCTGAATGCTAAAGCTTGTAATACTAATTTGTTATTTAAGATATACAGTTGCATTAGCTTGCTTTCCTTTTAGGAAGGAAAATCTTTTATGAACATTTAGCTGCATGAAGTCACATCCTGCCATGTGGAAATATGGAAGCACATATGAACATGAAAATTAAACTACTTAAATAAAATTCAGTTACAAGAAAAAACAAAATCATAAATTAAGAAGTTATATATGTATTTAAATATATAAATTATTCAGTAGTCTTGAAGATGAGGGTTTTTTGAATTATTATGAAATATTTCAATTCTATACAATCAAGTAAAATGAATACCAAATAAATAATTTTCAATTTAAGCACTGACGGCATGAAGAAAGAGTTAGCAAGAAGTATTACATACCTGATGATATTTTAGGAAAAATTTATTTTCTTGTTGGCAGATAAGTTTCTCCGCTTTTGTTTCGGGGAATGAGGACATTTCATAGAAGATAAAGCCATTCTTCCTAATTTTCTCTGCGTTAAAGGCGACAGAACGACAGTATATAATGAGATTGGACATTTCAGTTGCTATCCTCCATTGCCTCTCCAAATCTTTGTGCTGGGTCTCCTGTAAATATGAATGGTACATGCACATTCCTTCGTACTTCTTACGTTGGACACTGTCCATTGTCATAAGATTATTTAATATAAATAGCATTTTATGAGTTGGCTTTACTCCCATCTTTAGGTATAATTCTCGGCCTGGAGACTGCCTATCCATTTAATTCAAGCAAATATAGAAACATTACCTTATTTTATGTCTTTCCACTTCATTTTCATTAATTGTCATATGGTTTCAGATACTATCTCATTAAATAAAATATAAATAAAACAAACAAGATTCAGGTTCAATGACAGTCACCTAAAGATGTAACTACAGCATTAAGTACATCATAGATCATCTGAAACAATTAAAAATGTCTAACATAATTTCATTATTTATGAATTAACCACTGTCACAAACTTTTAGAGAATAACATGTATAATGCGACTCAATGTTGTTCAAACATGTAGAGTCACAGCATGAATAGAAAACAGTGTATAATTAGTATTCACTTTTACTCAAAAAAATACCCCTCGATTTAAGCGTAATGTTTCAAGATTGAAACGCTAATAATAAAGATTAAGAAACATGAAACTTTTTGCCCACTGATTTTTGTATGGTTTCATTACGTGACACAAAATGCTAAAAGAATATCAGAACCTCAAAGACTTTAGTGATGTGTTAAGTTATTATTTATGTAAAGTGGAAGTCCATGTTCCAAAGATGACTAAAAAAAAACTAGTCCCCAAACTTCATAACAATTTCATCCAAAGGCAAGGCTGACAGACAATCACTACTTTTAAGACACTACACTAACAAGTTTAAATAATTACAGTGTACTATTTTTTGTCTGTAACCAATAATCAATATAAGAAAATGAGATATTGTAGATGTGTCATATTGTGATTTATAAGTATTATTATTAACCAGCCACGATCCGATACAGTATAACTCCAATCTCTCCTAATACTGCTACGATATTACTTCTTGGTCCAATAAACACAACATTGACATCACTACGAAATACAATCATATTAGTGACAGGCGACACAACAACCGATGAAGATACAATATGAAGGACGAGAACACGATAAGAAAAATGAAAACTAAAAAATCATTAAATATCAGTAAAAATCAGTAATTCAGTTAAAAAGTTTATAATATAACACCTGATGACGGCTATATATAGCCGAAACATGTCGTAAATGTTCCACATGTAAATCGAGTACTCGATAAGGAACGTAAAATGATATTTTAATCTTATATTGTGATTGACGGTCAATTTTAATATATTTTTAATACTTATAAGAAAATGAGTTTTACATTAATACTCTTTTACATTTACATACTTTTTCTCATTCATGTAAGTATGCAGAAACATTTTTGTCACTCGGCTGCTGACTTCAGTCTTTTGGAAAAGAAGTACGAACGGCTGAAAACTATTGCTTTATACTAACTACAAGTTTTCTGCTCCAGGTAGAGCTCTGGGTCTGAACGGAACAAAGCCTCCACTGACAAACTGGTGGTTGGTTGGACAACACCAGCTCTTAGAGTACGGCTGAGACAGGACTTTACAAGAAATATGGTGAGAGACATCTCCTTCAGGCACTTCCTTATCTGAACAATGCACACTGTTGAATTCTACTCATAACACACAAGTTACGCCCTCCTCTCTGCGTAAACTGCATCTACCAATTATCACAGTAAAACTGCCTTTTCTCTGCAATACACGACGTACCCTGGCACTAGCAAACTGTGCTGTTTCCTTTATACTGGCCATCCACTCGAGTGCATCTTCATGTTTAGGAACTGCCACTTCAAATGGGGTGCACATACTCGGGTTTTGAATTCTAAGAATCCACTCCATCCCAAGATGTCCTCCCACTGCCAGGTCTACTACTGCCCCCATCATATCAAGGCTTCCCTTCTGCAGACTTCCCAGAAGCATCGAATCAGATGACTGAAAGAATCGGGGCCAATCAAAATTATATCACTACTACAGACCATTCTCAAAATGAAAATTAAATTGGTGTTAAACTACACTCATCATATGAGGAACTCCACATGTTTAAGTAGACTGAAGAAGTGAGATGCTGTAACACAACAAAACCATATTCCACGAGAAAAGAGATAGAAGAAAGTACGACGTAATTGCGTCGTGATGTTCCAAATTTATCAGGTATCCCTTCAGTGTCTGGAAATGTAAAATCTGCTACAAAAACACCACTGATCAGAGGATTTTTTGAGAGGCTGTTAGTCATCAGAAATGCCCACTCCTTCCTCCTGTACCAGGTAAATATGTACTATGAAAATGATCCCATACAGAGGGTTAAAACGTACAGAAGGATTATGAAACTGAAATTGCAACTCACATTGTCGTCACGATTTTCTTGAGGTTCAATCAGCTCCACATAGTTGGAGGGGAACCAATGCTGTTTCTTGCCACCATAATCACCTCGCCACCAGCCATCATCTTGCTTGTTAACATTCGTGATGATAGCATGTTTACAGAATGAGAGTTCGTCATCACGATGTGCCTGGTAGTCGTACACAGCTTTCACTGTGACCTAAACAAAAGAACACTTTGAACACGAACAGTTAAATATGCATAATATTGTTGATTCCCTAAGATCCTTGCTCAATGTCATTAATTCTCCTTACCCAGTACTGGCCAATATATTTGTCTAGAAATAAACACAGGAACAATGTTCATGACATTAATAAAACTAGGACAAAATCATAAAATAATAATTACACTAAAAAGTATAAAATCAATCTGCAAGTAAGGCCATTCTACTGGTGATGATCGACAGAAGGTGCTATCTCACCAACTCTTGACGAACTCAGGAACTGCTTATACAAAACACTGTCTTCCCTGATCCACTGAGGGAAATTTCTTGCCATTACAGAAATATAGGACCACGACCACCATTAAATGTCATCCGGAACCACTTAAATCTATGTTAATGTTAGCCTTCTGACCTGAAGATGGAGGCACATATTCCTTTGAAACACTGGTATCTACCTAAAAGTCCATATAATATTACAACCCACAAGATCAATGCTGACATATTTACCACTACGAAAACCTCAAAAATAACTTAAACATAATTCACATTCTCAGAACCTGTTTCTGTAAGATTCATGTTAATACAGAATGTACTCTCTTTCCTCTTATACTTTTACTTTCAAAATTAATGGATGAGATTTTCAAACACAAATTCTATGTGTATTTCTTGTAAACATGCTACATGTTAGGCCCATTACAACTACTTAACCACCTCAAAATTCTAGGTGTAGGCTAGTTGTTCTGTAAACGTAAGGGACCAAGTTTTGTACTAATATAATCAGAATCTCCCTTAAGAAGATGAGTCACTCAGATGTACGGAATCCAAGTCCATTACCGTGTTCTCTTGACCCTAAACCAAATAAGTTGAATCCAGTCCACATCCACACACTGTTTATTTAGGAGACATTTTAATATTCTCCAGTTTTCAGCTTACACAAAACCTAAATAATAAAGTAAAATTTTAGTTTAATATAGTTTTACAGAAATGAACCCAAGAATATGAAAGATTCTGAAATGAAACAATGTTAGCATTTTGTCTGGTTATTCTCCTCTTAATTTCATTATGAATCTGTCTTACTTCTTACTTAATCCCATAGTATCTTAGCATCACCACAATTCCAATGAATTTGGTATTCAGAAACCCACATTATACAACACGGAGCTTTCCTCCGTCGCATCCCAACAATTACTCCATTCACACACAGAAGAAGGCAATGGCAAACCACTTCTGGATCATCTGCCAAGAACGTATATGAACAGGTCCCAGTCCGAGAAGAGAAAAGGATGGAAGGATCCTGTTCATAATATGTCGTCAACGGCGTAAAAACTCTGAAGAAGAATGGTCCTGAAATGTCTGGATAAACTTTCAGAGCTTCTTCAACTAACTCTAACAGCAGGCGACAAGTGATAAGAAGGCGTTGTTACTGGATGGCTGCAGCTAGCATCACAGCAGTGTCGCAAATTTCTGTGTGCGCAAAACTCTTCACTGAGGATGTGTACAAGGCAATGCATATAGAAATGGTACAGAACATTTTCCATGCAATTAGACAGCTTGAAGTTACGAAGTATTTGTGGTGAAGAGGAATGTTGTTTTCTCAGGCTTCAAAATAATACTCTCTTGTAACTCACCTTTGGCACAATGCTATTTGGATCCATGTATCCAGGTGTACCATACACAGCCCCTTCATCAACATCTCCTATCTAGAAAAACCAACAAGACATAATTAAACAATAGTGCTCAATATAACTACTATGGGAAGAAGTGATGTGGACAGCTTAATATTAATGTGCTAACCAGTATTCTGCGATGTTTATTATCATTTGATGGTGATAACAAATGACAAAATGGGAGGGCTTAAACTTTCAAAGAGCGCCCCTGACTGAAACCACAAAAATTATAGACAGTCTCTCAAATTAGATTTGAACAGAGTACAAAACAGATGAAACACCACGCAGCAACATGACTGCAACACAAATCGCTCACCGGATTGCTCGCTCCCATGAAGTCTTCATTTACAGGATACCACAGTTTTATTTTACGATAAAGAGGGTGTCGCTTGTAGTAGCTGACTAGTTCCACAAGACTCTCAAACTGAACTGACCCAATTGTGTAAAGACGTCCTTCTTGCTTTATTCTGCAGTGTTTAATTTTCTTCTCTGCCCTGTAACCAGTTACAATTTAATGCAATTGACAAATTTTTGTTAAAAGCCGCAGTACGTGCATAGCCGCGCACACTTCCGAAAGAAAAATTTAGGTAATGATCTTCAGGGTTGATTTATTTAATGATGCTGTCAGTAGCTCGACTACACAGTGTTAAATAATTTACCTGGAAGAAATGAGGAAAACTCAAAAAACCTCAGTCATAATAGCCAGTTTCCAGGCTGAGATTTGAACCCAGGACCTCCAAATACAAAGCTGAGGGCCCCTACATTGGGTACTATGTAGTCATGCAGGTGGTAACCAAAATTTTTACGGAATCAACTGCCTCCATCTCAAAGGTAAAAGTTTACAGACTGGGACGTAGGCAAGTTAATAAGAATGTTGTAGGGATCAGATTGAAAGCAACAAGACTACGAATCAGAGTCTGGAATGGAAGAAAGAAGATGGAGAGAGGTCTGTTCAGATCAACAAAAAACTGAGCGAGTATTACCCCACTTTATATAAGATCAAAACTCTTAATGATTTATTACAAAATGCTTCACTGGCGATGGCGACAAACAAAACAAACGAACATAGCATAAAAATATAGACTTCATAAAGATCTACAAATTTACTCACTGTGAATGTTTAGAGAATCATAAGGAAAAGTAATATCTGACTCTGAACAGTGTGATTACCTTTGCACAATAAATCTGAATTGGAAAAAAAATGAAAATTAAGGCCAAAGGTAAAATCTGAAGTTGGCTTGGGCTATAGTACGAGGCGCGTCCACAAAGTAAGTTTCCCACTCGTCCCACAGCTAGCAAACCTTATATTGC